TTTTTTTTTACTGAGTTTTTGGTGAACCTTTACACAGTGTGTTAGGTTCCCAGTGAACAATTTCTGTGCATATGGTTCAGTGACATTGGTTACGTTTTCCACAATGTGTCAACATTCTCCTTATTTCTTCTATTCTGGTGGTTCTTTTCCCATCATTCTTGCCTCCCTGCCCCTATCCAACTATCTAACTAGCAAAAACGCAAGTGTTTGCTTTAAGGGTAAATGTTGATCATTTATCCTCATATAAATTATTTTTGTTGCTTTTGCTTTTAAATTAAAAGGGCACAGTAATCATGGTTGAACTATTTTATGAAAGAATCTGTTGTTTAGCTGACAGGTGATCTCCGGGAGTAGTTTCAGTTCCAGGTTTAAAAGGTATCTCAGGCTGACAGTCTTGGGAGTTTTTCCCTAGTCTCTCTCTAATTTTTCAGTAAGTCTGGCCTTTTTAAAAGAATTTGAAACTTTGTTCCACAATTTTAATCCATTCTATCCAGGAACATCTATTGTGGCCTTGGTCAAAATAATCAATAGTTGTTGTTAAATGCTGTCAAGTCAGTTCTGACTCATAATGACCCTCTATAGGGTTTCTGAGGAGCAGCTGGTGGGTTTGAACTGCTGCCCTTATGGTTGGCAGTCCAGTGCTGATCCTACAGCGCCACACCAGGAATCAGTAGTTAGGCCCATCTAGTTCTTCTTGTCTCTGTAGGTGAGGCTGTGGCCTGTGTAGGCAGTCGATCCTATAGAATAGGACCTTTAAGTCTTTCATTTCCTTCTCTTTTTTTTTTTTTTTTTTTAAGATCCTGCCCTGGGCAGGAAGTCATGCAAGATACTGGGGGATTTGAGGGAGATTAGAGAAAACCAGGATCTATCTTTGAGGCAAAGTAACCACAGCCATACTCACTTGAGTCCTGATATGGATAAACACTCAACTGCAAGTGTTTGAACTGCAAGGTTGGTGGTTCAAACTCATCAGCCTCTCCTCAGAAACCCTATACAGGGTTGCTATGGGTCGGAAGTGATGCAATGGCACTTAACAACAACACCAGTAGCTCATTAAAGTCATTGCCAGCTAGGGGCTTCTAGTCCCCACCCAATGAAATGGGCACTATCATTATTCCATTGTATGAATGAGAATTGGGGTGTTTCCTCAGGTTCCTGGTTAGGAAGTAGGAGAGACAGGAGTCAAGCCCTTATAGTCAGACTCTCAATCCCAGTTTCTTCTAATCCACACTTGATTTCCTAACCCTGGTAATTTTGCCTCCAGGTGACATTGAGTAATGTCTAGAGACGTTTTTGGTGGTCCAATTGGGGAAGGGCATGTTGCTGTCCTCTAGATTCTGCTAACTGCCCTGTAATGCACAGGACAACCAGATTGATCTGGCCCCCAGTGGCAATAGTGCTGTGGTTGGCAAACCCTGCTGTAGACCATGTGGAGAAGACGTGACCTGCCCGAGAATGCCCATGTGGGAAGTAATCAGAGAAGCCTTGTTTGGGGGACGGGGTAGCACGGGGGTCCATCTAGAAGGGCAGGTAGGTTTTGAGGAAATAGGACCGAGCAGAAAGAAGGCACTTCCAGGTGGAAGAGAGCCTGGCCTAGCAAGGGCCTGCCAGTGAGGAGGTTCAATATCTAGCTGGGAGTCAGCTAGAGAAGAGTGTGTAGGGTTTAGTGGTTCTGATTTACCTGATGGTAATGAGCCCTGGTGTGGCACTGTAGGGTAAGCACTGGACCGCAAAGTCAGTTTGGACTGCAAGGTCAGTGGTTCAAGCTCACCAGCCACTCCTCAGAAACCCTATAGAGGGTCGCTATGGGTTGCTTCCAACTCAACAGCATTTAACAACAAAGATTATCTGGAAGGCTTGATACCTATACAGGTTTTCATGCTGTCCCCTAGAGGTCCTGAATCAGTGGGACTGGGAAGCATCTGATGGAGTACTCTAAGTGGTGCAAACAGTTTACGTGCTAACCAAGAGATTGGAGGTTCAAGTCTAACCAGTGGTACCTCAGAAGAAAGAGTTGCCTGATCTACTACTGAGAAATCAGCCTTGAAAACCTCATGGAACATAGGGGATTGGCAGGCATGACTTTGATTCATATGGGGAAGTGAGGGAAGATTCTGGAAGGCCAACCCTAGTAGAGTTTTTGGTCAGCCTGACTCTTCCAGGCTTACCCTGCAAGGAGATTTCTTTTCCTCAATGAGTGTTGATCCCTCGGCACATGCACACATGCTTTGTCCTGAGAGCAGCTTTGGACAGTGATGCCTTTACCTGGGAGAGATGTGTTTTCTAAACCCATTCCCCAGCACCCTGTTATGTCGCCCACAACTCTGCTATCGTGTGGTGGCTCACAGAGGAAAACAAAGTGGATTTACTGCAAAGTGTGAAGTCATACTCTTCCCGTGCCTTGTTTGGGGAGCTGGGCAAAACCCTTCAATGGAACCCAGTTTGTTAAAGGAGAAGAAAGCGCTTCTGGGGCAGCTGCAGTCCTGCTAGTTGCTTTGTCCTGTTACTGTCACATTCTCTTGAGCTGGCTGGCTGGATTTGATTGGTTAGAAATGGAGTGATGTTTGTCCAATGAAATTTGAAACCACAAGAGCTCTCTGTTGCAAGCAGGCTCCTGGAGTAGGGGCTGCTGGTGTCGGCACCTAGCGTCCACTGCTCAGCCTCTAGACTTCTCTGGCCTGTGAACTCCGCCATGCCCATTCTCTCCCTTCAGGTTTGTGTGGAGAAATGGAATCTCCTCAACTCCTCCCGCCTCCACCTGCCGAGGCCTTCTGCCGTGGCCCTGGAAATGCAAAGGCTTAATGATCTGGACCTTGAAAAGAAAATCGGGAAGTCCATTTTGGGGAAGGTATCGGTGATACCCATTTCAGAGCCCTCCTTGCACTAACCAGGCTCAGACATATCTTTGCTTGATCACTTGCTCCTGCAGGCTGGCTGGGTGGCCCTTGGGCTTAACTTGGGCCTTCCAGACAGCGGGGGCCAACGCTGTGGTCTGTGTGGCAGGTCCATTTGGCCATGGTGCGGTACCATGAGGGTAGGCGCTTCTGTGAGAAGGATGAGGAGTGGGACCGAGAGTCAGCCGTCTTCCACCTGGAGCACGCAGCCGACCTGGGCGAGTTGGAGGCCATTGTGGGCCTGGGGCTCATGTATTCCCAGTTGCCCCACCACATCCTGGCTGACGTCTCTCTGAAGGTGAGAGGGTTGCAGGGACCCAGCGGGGGGCGGAGTGGGTGCTCAATCAACCCACCATTCACCTGCCTCTGCATTCTGACACTGGCTGGGGGCCAGGCAATGTCCCATTGCTGGTTGAAATGGATAGAATTGGTTTGTGCCCTTGGGTGAGGGGAAGGTGACAATCACACCACTGGGCAGTGGTGTGATGGGAGAAACAGGATACAGCTGGAAACATGAAGAACTCCTCACGGGGGCTAGCACAGGCTTCCTGTTGATCGGCAGTTCTGGCCGTACCTCCAGTGCCTAGTACAGAGCCCGGCACACGGGCACTGTGTACACCTAGTACAGAGTTCCCTCAGTGTACACTTGTTGAGTGGCTGGTTGGATGGTCAGCCAGACCGTTTGTGAGGTGAGCGTCAGGCAGCGCATGCCCCGACCCAGAGGTGAGAGACAAGATAACGGATTAAAAGGCAGGAAGCAGATGAGCAGAGCTAGGACATGGGCCAGGGATAGATGTGAAGCAGCGGGATGTAGCTGCCCTGGGAAACCCGGATGGGGTCTGCTTCTTCCCACCTGCCCTGGTCTGTGTACAAGGAGGAAGGATTGAGCCTGGCTTGGTGGTGTACAGGAGCCGGCATAGACTAGGGAAAGTTGAGAGACCCTTTGAGAGTGTGTATGAGCCCAGGAAATGTTGTCCCATACCCCTTGTGACATTGACAGGGTGACTGGACCAGGCGGGGCTGACCATGGGCACAGGTGGGGGAGTCCTGAAATGGAAGATAGCTTTTTCTTTAACTTTCTGAGTAGGCAATACAGTCACATGATGTTTTTTTAAATTGGGGTTTGGTTAGTGAAATCCTGACAGCCCCTTCTACTTCAAGTCTCACTTGCTTTCCCTCCCCTTTTCTGATTTGTATGACAGGAGACAGAAGAGAATAAAACAAAAGGGTTCGATTACTTACTGAAGGCAGCTGAAGCAGGCGACAGACAGTCTATGATCCTGGTGGCGCGAGCTTTTGACTCTGGTCAGAACCTTAGCCCAGACAGGTACGGGGGTACTGCTGCTCAGGTGGAGCTGGTGGGAACCTGACTGCCGGGAATGGGGGAGCCTCCCCTTCCCTTTCCGTATAGGTCTGGACTCCATCCTGGCTCTCCGCTTACCAGTTCAGTAACTGTGGCCAAGGTATTTTACCTTCCTGTGAAATTGGAATCATTGCAGAACGTGCATCCTAAGGTGGTTGTGTGCGGGGTAAAGGAGCTGATGTGTCAGGCACGTGAAGCTCCAATAAATGGCAGTCCTCTTCGCCATTACATGTAAATATCCACCTGAGGAGATTTCTGAAAGGACATGCAGCATCCGGTTCCTAGTGAATGTCCCCAGATGTTAAGATTGTGGGTGATTTCACTCTTCACCTTCCAAGTGGGAGGCCTGGAATTGACTCCTGATCAGGATGCCTCATGCTCGGCACCACCCATCTCAGTGGAGGCTGACGTGCTGCCATGATGCCGAACAGGTTTCAATAGAGCTTCCAGACGAAGATGGACTAAAAGAAAGGCCTGCTAATCTACTTCTAATCATCAGCCCATGAAAACCCATCATGGGAGGCCCCTGGGTGGCGCAAATGCCTAAAGGCTCAACAACTAACCTAAAGGTTGGTGGTTCAGACCCACCCAGGGGCACCTCAGAGAGCAGGCCTGGCGATCTGATTCTGAAAGGTCACAGCCATTGAAAATCCTTTGAAGTTCGACATGGGATACAAGGAGTCGAAAACAGCTCAATAGCAATTGACAAGAACAAATAGCACCAGCAGTGTCAAGGGGTAATTTGTTTATCTGTAAAGGGAGACTAATAAGGGTTGTGTAAGAATTGCAAGAGAGGCCAGGTATGTAAGCTGATTGATCAAAAGAAGAGAAAAGAAAGAAAACACTGTGATCACAGTTGATCCCATCCAAGAAGGCTTATGGGGATGGTACGAGATTAAGTAGCTCTTTGTTCCTTTGAGCATGGGGTCTCCATAAGTCGGGGACTGACTCAGGGGCCTCTAACAACAGTGACTTTTCTTTTTGTGTGCATCATTTTCACATTTGACATGGAGGATAAGGAAGGAAGGAAGCTTTACGGGTGACACCAGGTGGGTGTGGATTTTCCCAGAAGGCTTTGAGACTCATGAATGTTGTGACTGTAAGGGTCACTGCTTTTTCATCTGTTCTTCATGCTGAGATGCCAGGACTCGTTTCTCAATGGGATGAAGAAAGCATGATCCAATTGTATTTCAGCTTACCTAACTCAAAGTGGGAGGTGGCGGAAGTCCAGAAGCTAAGATCCATTCTGGGAAGTGAACCCATAGTGGAATCCATTGACTCTTCTACCTCTTAACTGTCCTCGAGAATGCTTGCTGCTTCCTGGAAGGTGTTGGGTGGAAACATTTATTTTGGAAACCTTCATAGTTGGAGCAACTCGGTAGCTTCCTCTTCTTTGGTGTCACCCAAGGTCTCTTCTCCCTTTCAAAGTCAGGACTGTGGTCCTGTCATATCAAGCTCTCAGGGCTAAAAGCCCTGGATATCTTGTCCCTATTACGTAGTCCAAACACCGATCAGAGGCCTACTGAGAAAGGCGGTGCTTCCTATATTTAGACAGCGTTTTCACACCTGTGATTTGATTTCATTGAGAACAGAGCCTGGGCCTCATATGTCTTTGTTGTCCCAGTGCCTACTACAAGGCCTGGCTCAGACTTTTTTTTTTTTAATGAGTGAGCATCTCATTGACACAGACAAGGTAGGCGTTTGGGGCCCTGTCTTATGAATGAGTGGTGGTGCAGTGGTTGTGCTCGACTACAAACTGACACGTCAGCAGCTAAACTGTAGTTCTGAAAACTGACAAATAGCTAGTAGGTAGCAGAGCCAAAACTCACTCATCCACTGTGCTACTGACTGACCTTTTTTTTTTTTTCTTTGAGTGTTTTGTTGTGAATTATATGACAGTTTACATGGGAGAACATTAGTTTTACATTCATTCTGTCATACATCGTATCATTGCCATGGTTACAATTCCCTCCATGCATCATCAACCGACCAAAGGGTATACCCTGCAAGCCTGCCCCCTACACTACCCACCCCAGTCTTCAGCACGCAGTCATTCTCCCTCTCTGGATCTAAAGTCTCCAGCTGCTCCATCTCTCCACATCATTGTTTCTGCCTCCATCTTGGGCATCACTGCTTCTCTGGGTAGGGTCCTGCTCTCGGCTCTTCTCCGTTGATGGTCCTAGGGACCTCCGCTCCTAGACTGAAAAGTTATTCCCTCCCTTCCTTGCTATAAAATGTCTACCTTTACATTTCCAACCTTCACAATCAGTCCTGATAACAATTATTCACTATTGTATCACAAAAGACCCATCTGCATTTCATTTCATCAGCTCCGCCTAGGCAGATTGGATACTACTCACTGGAGATTCTGCCTTCCTCCAGGCCCCCTGGCTCTAGATTCCCTCTTGAAAGCTTGTAAGCCAATCACTTCTTGCCTTTGTATCCCCTCCACCCCCATTTTGGGTAGCCAGTGTCCAAGTTTCCCATCCCTGTCTACTCTGTGTGTGGAGGGGGTAGGAATGATTTTTGCTGTAAGGATTTATTCCCTCTTTTGAGCTACTGCTTCCATAGGTGTAGGTCAAGTTCATCAAATTGCATCAGATTGCTCTTTTTTTAAACTCTTCTTTCTTCTGGTTGTGCTCTCATCATCCAGTCATTGAAGCCAGGTCAAGTGGGTATTATCTGCAAGTGTGCATGTTCTTGTGCATATGCCCTCTCTTTTTATCAGCTGCACGCTTCACTCTCCACATTGTCGGACTTAGCTCGCCACTTCATTGCTGTTTTTTCCTCACTTCCCCTTATCGGTGACGAGTGTGGTCACCAATCAGAGCGTGTATTCCCATTGAGTCTTAGTCTTGGAAGGGGGTTTGCACTGAGGGGACCTGACCACTTGCCTTGATGTTTCCTGGGCAAGCAACTTGTTCGTTCTTACAGTAACAGTCCATCTGCCTCTATTGTTTTGTATTTTTCCTGTAGGTCTTTCTTTCAAGAAGTATCTTCTATTCTTCTAGCCGTTCCAGGCTGGTCTGTTCGTCCTTTTCAAGTGGAAATTTCCCATCTCTGGAGATCTGGATGTGGTTCAGGTTTCTACCTATAGTCTTATGTATTGCAGAGGCTCCACAGGAAGCCTCCTTCACTGGGCATGTTGTAGCCCCATTTTAGGTATTCCAATCAGTTACAGGCAGAAGATGGACTTACAAGCTTTCTATGGTATTGTTTCTGACTATTCTTTTCTCTCCCCCTCCAGTGTCCACTTTATATTATAATTCAAGGAATACCAAGATTCAAAAGACAGCCAAGCAAGCATCCTAACATTATTACCCCCTTTTCCCCATTCCAGCCATGTCTCAATCTCTGTATCACATCTCTGTATCACAGAGCTCTGCAGTTCCAAGGTTGTATATACATCATTCTTTACCCCTGTCCCACTTAGCCCATTCAATCATGCCTAATTGTTCTCCCATCTGCCTTGTTCTTCCATTGCCCTCTCCCTTCTTGTATATTGCCCCCCTCTTCAGTACCCAAACTTTCCGGTGCCTAATCCCTGCCCTGTACTCCTCTACCTTCCCTTCCCTTCCCTCACCCATCCCCAATTTACCAGTGATCAACAAAAAAAATCTCCCCACCCCCCTTTAGTATGTGTTCTTAGTCTTTTACAGTTGTGGTCCTATGCAGTATTTCTCCTTTTGTGACTGACTAATTTCACTCAACATAGTGTCCTCAAGGCTCATCCATGTTACGCAGTGGCTTGCTGCTTTCTTGTTATTCTTCAATGTAGCATAGTATCCCATTGTGTGTATGTACCACAGTTTGTTTATCCATTCTTCAGTTGATGGGCACTTTATCTGTCTCCATCTTTTTGCTATTGTAAATAGTGCTGCTATGAACATTGGTGTGCATATATCTACTTGTGTTATGGCTCGTATTTCTTGTGGGTAAATACCAAGTAGAGGAATTGCTGGATCATAAGGTATTTCTATTTTCAACCTTCTGAGGAAATGCCATATTGCTTTCCAGAGAGGTTGGACCATTTTGCAGTCCCACCAGCAATGCAGGAGTGTCCTAGTCTCACCACATCCCCACCAGCATTTATTGTCCTCTACTTTTTTATCTTTGCTGTTATTGTTGGTGTGAGATGATATCTCATTGTTGTTTTGATTTGCATCTCTCTAATGGCTAGTGATCGTAAACATTTCTTCATATGTTTGTTGGCTACCCAGATCTCTTCCTTAGTGAAGTGTCTGTTCATGTCCTATGTCTACTTTTTAATTGGGTCATTTGTCCTTTTCTTGTAGAGGTATTGTAGTTTCCTGATATTTTAGAAATGAGTCCCTTGTCTGATATGTCATTGCAAAAGATTTTTTCCCGTTCTGTGGGTTCCCTTTTTACTCTTCTGGTGAAGTCTTTTGATGCACATAAGTTTTAAATTTTTAGTATGTCCCACTCATCTATTTTATCTACTTTTGTTTGTGTGGTTTTCAAAATGTTTTGTACTGACTGACCTTCTTTTTAGTGGACTCAGAACTATGCATGGAAAGGAGGTGACCAAGAGATCCACGGTGTAATTGTATCGGACCCAGTGCCAGTGTGTACAGGCACAGAATGGGTGAGGGGCCCTGGAGCCAGCACTGAATATTTGCATATAAGGCCCTTGAAAAATGTGGCTATTTATATTTTCTCTTCATGTCCTTTATCTACTTTCTAATTTGAGGTGGTAGGTTTTTTCTTTGATTTGTAAGAACTCATTATATATTAAGACTACTACTGGAGAAAGATGAGGCTTTCTGCTTCCGTAAAGATTTACAGCCTCGGAAACCCTGTACAGGGTTGCTATGAGTCGGAATCGACTGCATGGCACATAACAACAACAACTAATCCTTTATCAAATAATTCCCTCATTAACTTTTTTCTCCCCTACAGAGAAGGTTATATAGATATGGGGATGGGGTAGCGCATGTGCTGCATCTTGTTGTATGCTGTGGAGTTGGTGCCGACTCATAGCAACCCCGTATAGGGTTTCTAATGCTGTAAATCTCTATGGGAGCAGAACAAAATTGGAGACCTCTCACTCACTGAGGTCAAAACTTACTCCCCAGTCACAGTGGTCAAAACAACCTGGTACTGGTACAACAAAAGATACATAGATCAATGGAAGTCAGTCCATCCACATATAGACAACTGATCTTTGATAAAGGGCCAAAGACATTAAATGGGAAGAGCTAGTCTCTTCAACAAATGGTGCTGACAAAACTGGATATCGATTTACAGAAGAATGAAACAGACTCATACCTCATGCCACATAGAAAAACAAACTCAGCATGGATTAAAGACCTAAATATAAGACCCAGAACTATAAAGATCATGAGTGAAAAACTGTGGACAAACTTAGGGACTCTAGTACATGCCATACACACGTGATCAAACATGACAAAAACCACACAAGCAGAAGACAAGATAGATGACTGGGACCTCCTAAAAATTAGAAACTTACGTACATCAAAAGATTTTGCCAAAAGAGTTATCTATAAAACTTTTAGAAAACTATAGCACCTGTACACGAAAAAGACAAACCAATTAAAAAATGGGCACTGGACATGAGCAGCCACATCACCAAGAAACATATCCAAGCAGCCAACAAATATGTGAAGAAATGTTCACGATTATTATTAAGTTAAGTGCCGTCAAGTCCATGCCGACCCATAGCGACCCTGTATAGGGTTTCTGAGGAGCAGCTGGTGAGCTTGAGCCGCTGATTTGCAGTTCAAACGGCTTTGCAGTCTGGTGCATTAACCCACAGCAGCACACCAGGAATCCAGAGAGATGTAAATCAAAACAACAATGAGATACCATCTCACACCAGCATTAACAGTGAAGTTCAAAAAGCCAGAAAACAAGAAATGCTGGCAAGGGTGTGGAGAGACAAGGACCCTCCTACATTGCTGGTGGGACTGTAAAATGGTTTAACCACTCTGGAGACTGGTATGGTGATTCCTCAAAAAGTTGGAAATAGAAATACCTTATGACCCAGCAACCCCTCCTCTTGGTATATGTTCACAAGAAATACGGCCTAGGACACGAGTAGATATATGCACACTGATGTTCACTGCAGCTTATTCACAATAGCAAAAAGATGGAAACAATCTAAACACCCATCAGTGGAAGAATGAGTAAACAAACTTTGGTACATACACACAATGGAATAGCATCCAACGTTGAAGAAGAATAATGATGAATCTGTAAAACACTTAATAACTTGGATGAACCTGGAGGACATTATGCTGAGTGAAATTAGTCAATCTCAAAAGGACAAGTATTGTATGAGGCCATCATTGTAAAACCTTCATAAAAGGTTTCCAAACTAAAAGAAGCATTTTTTGATGATTACCAGGAGTGAGAGGGAGGGAAGAGTACTTCACTGGCTAGAGGATAGACACATGTTAGCTTGGTTGACAGGAATGGTAATATACTAGAAGAGAGAGGATGGCAGAAGAATGATGAGGATATAGAAGGTATGCTTGGGCTAAAGAGGATCGAGGTAAACAGTGATAGATACACAACCTTGGAACAACAGTGTTCTGCAAGTAGGTACATGGACAGACACATGCTGAATAGGTATAGGAGGAAATGTGGACTATATATGGATATATTTCTTATATAGAGAGCCCTAATGTGGTGCTGCAGGAAAATGTGCTGGACTGCAAAGTCAGTTTGAACACTCCTCGAAAACCCTATACAGGGAGTAGGTAATTTTCTTTCTTTGCCACTTAATAATAATATTTAGAGTAATTTTATTTGTTCTTCAAGACTGGGAAGGACTAAAGCTAAAAGGGTTGAGCTCTTGAGTCAACTTCTAATCCAGTGTTAACCCTCATTTGTTGGTGGGTCACCAGTAACCTTCAAATGATTTTCCGTTCTTTTCAGGAAATAAAATCTAGTCAAGTTTATCTCTCCTGAGCACCATTACAGCGAGCCACTTGTTTGCAGTGATTCATTGTGCAAACATTTCTTGAGCCTGGGCTCTTTACTAGGCTCTGGACTGGGCTCCAGGAATACAGCCTGTGAAGAAAGTAGACAAAGTCCCCACCTCCTTGGAGCTCACGTTCTAGTCGGGGGAGATCGAAAATAAACTGGATACGATACTGGAAATGTATAGGCTGAGGTCGTCAGTGTAAGAAAATGGGGTGTTTGGGAATGGTGTCTCTGAAGAGATGAGTCCAAGCTGAGGGATGTGAAGAGTGGGAGGAGAATGTTCTAGTCAGAGAGAGCAGCAGGTGCACAGGCCATGGGGCAGGCAGAACTTGGCATGTTTGAGGAAGAGAGAGCCCCTTGGTGAGTCTGTAACAGACGGACAGTCACAGTTGCCGAGAGTGGAGGGCAAGTAGGACCTCAGGGGCCATGGTAAAGAGGCGAGGAGGGGAAGCTGTTGCTCCTGTAATGTTTTGTGAGCCCCTCAGACTGTCTTACCCGAAGGTCTCTGCGTTTTCCTGGTGTACTATAAATAGTTACCATGTGATTCATAGTATGCGGTTGTTGTGTGTCATCAAGTCAGCTCTGACTCATGGCAACTCTGCATAGGGTTTCCGAGAGCAGCTGGTGGGTTTGAACTGTTGACCTTGTGGTTAGCAGTCCAGTCCTTATCCTGCAGCACCACAAAAGGATGGTGCACCAAAATAAAAGAAAAGTTCATCCTGTTTGCTCTATATTTTGTGTTGTTTAGGGTGATTGGAACCTAAGTTTGCCCATATGTGGGCTGCAATCGGAGAAAGAGTTGAGGGTTGTTGTTGTGTGCTGTGAAGTCGGTTGCGATACATAGTAAACTTGTGTAGGGTTTTTGAGGAGCAGCTGATGAGCTTGAACTGCTGACCTTGTGGTTCAAGCTGACCTTGTAGTCCAGTGCATTAACCCACAGCAGCGTCATACCAGAACTTCTAGATGAGGGTTGTTATTGTTAAGTGTCATCAAGTCGGTTGCGACCCATACCGTCCCTGTATAGGGTTTCCGAGGAGCCCTGGTGATGCAGTGGATAGGTACTCAACTGAAAGTTTGGCAGTTCGAACCTACCAGCCGCTCCTCAGGAGAAAGATGTGGCAGTTGACTTCCATAAAAATGACGCCCTGAAACCCTATGGGGGAAGTTCTACTTTGTTGCTGTGAGTCAGAATCGACTTGATAACACGGAACAAGGACAGAATAGAGCTGGACGAGGGAAGCCAGCAGGAGGACGGCTCAGCTGGCCAGCCCTGGCAGAGCTTAAGACGGGGCCCAATCATGGCTGTTTGTTACTTGGTTCTGGAGGCCTCAGCAAAGGGCCCCCACACCTCTTCTCCTCCCCTAGCTAAAGCAGGTTAGCTAGGTCCCCCTATAAACTAGAAAAATGGCCCCTTTTTTTCAAGATCCTCAGCTTCCTTCTCTTGGCAAATTCTTTTACTGAATTTGTGAAGGCTTGCCATCTTGATAAATACATAAACCAACGCTGAGTGGCACCTTTGGATGTGGTGGTGCTGGGTAGTCTGGGTTGTAAACTGTTGGTGTGGTCCCCCTGGGATCCCTGACTTGCCCCACCTGCCCCGTTACCATGGTGACCTCCTCCTTTCTCTATTTCTTGGCAAGGTCCCAAGACTGGTTAGAGGCCCTGCACTGGTACAACACTGCCCTAGAGACCACAGACTGTGATGAGGGCGGTGAATACAACGGGATGCAGGATGATCCCCGGTATGCACTGCTGGCCCGGGAAGCCGAGATGCTCTTCACAGGAGGCTGCAGGCTGGAGAAGGACCCACAGCGATCAGGTAGGGGCTGGACGGGGCTGGACAGGGAGGGGCAGTGTCCTCCTTCCACTGGGAATCAAGATGCAGGTGAAAGCGCTTCCCTCAGGGACGGGCAGCTCTGGTGGGGGAGAAAGATACCTATTTTGCCCAGTAAGATACTCACATGGTACTAGTCCAACAAAGGGCTTTATGGAGTTCATATGCAGATGGACTTCTGGTTTGACACTGGACTGTGAATAAACTACAGGGTCAGCAGTTCAAACCCACCAACAGCTCCTAGGAAACCCTATTCAGGGTTGCTGAGTCGGAACTGATTCAATGGCACTTAACAACAAGAACAATACAGATGGACCACTGGGGTCCAGTCCTAGCATTACCTTTTTAGTTTGTGACCTGGAGTAGGGCACTTAACTTCTCTGTCATTCAGTTTCCTCAAAATGAAGCTAAGAACCGTGCCTGCTTTACTGGATGAGAATTGAATACATTTGTGGTGTTTGAATTACCTAGTGCTGTAATAATAGAGATACCACAATTGGATGTCTTTAGCAAACAAATTTATTCTCTCTGTTTAGGAGGCTAGAAGTTCAAATTCAGGGTGCCGGCCCTGGGGAAGGCTTTCTCTCCCTGTTGGCTCTAGGGCAGTGGTCTGGAACCATTTTTCTGCCAAGGGTCATTTGAATACTTACAACATCATTCACAGGCCGTACAAAATTACCAACTTAAAATTAACCTGCTATAATGTGATGCCTGGGACCACAGTTGCCTTGGCAGGGCCAGACCAAATGATTTTGTGGGCCTTATATGGCCCAGACCAGATGTTCCCCGCCCCTGCTCTGGGGGAAGGTCCTTGTCATCACTGTTTGCCTGGGTCTACAGGTTTCTCAGGGCAGGGATCCAAGTCCAAAGGATTCTTGGTGGTAGGAGGGCCCTCTCTGCTCACTTGTTTAATCTCTTTCTTGTGTCAAAAGAGATTGACGCAAAATACAACCTAATCCTATGGATTGTATCCTGCCTCCTTAACATCCTGGTGGTAATGCTGTGGAGTCGGTTCTGATTCATAGCGACCCTGTATAGAGTTTCCGAGGTTGTAAATCTTTATGAGAGCAGAAAACCTCTTCTTCTGTGAAACCGCTGATAGTTTCACACTGCTGACTGAGATTAGCAGCCCGACTTTGTAGCTGCTATATACTACCAGAGCGCCTTTGTTAACATGGTACAGGTGAGGATTACAACAGAGGGTAATTAATTACCTCAGATGATCACAAAGTCGATAATATTAAGAATCACGACCCAGCCACGTTGACACATATCTTTGGGGGACAAAATTCAATTCATTAACAGGTAGTATGAGAGAATTTCAGAAATTCATGGAAAAATTGAATTAAAATATAGTGGAGCTCTGGTAGTGTAGTGGTTACGAATCAGGCTACTAATCTCACCGGTCAGCAGTTCGAAACTACCAGCTGTTCCGTGGGAGAAAGATGAGGCTTTCTGCTCCCGTAAAGGTTTACAGCCTCGGAAACCCTGCGCAGGGTCAGTATGAGTCGGAATCGACTCCACGGCATATAACAACAACATAATGGAATTTTCTCACGAATGTTTTGAAGTCTGTTTTTAGTGATTACTAAGTAATCATCATTATCACAGCAGCAGCAGCGCTATCTTCATCAGTAAGTAATTCGGCAGGTCCTCAGTCTCTTCCTCATTGGCTGTTATTGAATCACATGCTGAGCCTTAAACCAATCACTGTGGCCACTGAGATTGTTAACACTGATTGGCCAGGCTCAAATTACATGTTCCTTTCTATAGTGCCCCTCCTAGATCATGTGGAGGGAGAGGGGATGAGAAGTAGTTTCGGTACTTGATGAAAACGCAACTACTGTTCCTAGGAAGTGGGAGGCACTGGACTGGCAGAACTAACAGGTGGATCCACCTCTTCCCGACCCACTTTGCTGTTTTTCAGGCGACCTGTACACGGAGGCAGCTGAAGCAGCTATGGAAGCCATGAAAGGTCGGCTGGCGAATCAGTACTACCAGAAAGCTGAGGAGGCCTGGGCTCAGATGGAGGAGTAATCGCCGAGAAAATCACTGCCAGCTGTCCCAAGCAAAAGGGCTAGGAGCTGGGGGAAAAGCACTTATTCAGTTGTGAAGGGCTGGAATATTTTTAGTGTATTATAAATCTATTTTGTATTTTGACTCTTGAAAATAACTTTGCTACTAGCAAAGGCTATTGTTGCCCGTTAGGGTAGCATTTTGTGGGGAGTAGGGATTGAAAAAGCAGCCTAATGAACCAACATAGGATTTTGAGGTTCTTTATATATATATAAAATAATGAGCTGTAAGAAAGTGCTTTTCTGCCTTGAATGAAAAATGCTTGGGCTTTGCTCAGCAGCCTGTTTTGTTGTTGAGTGCAGTCAAGTCAGTTCCCGGTTCCAGCTGAGGGGTTGATGTTGTGGTTCAAAGTCCATTGCTGATTCTATAGCGCCACATGAGGACTGGACTTAAATCTCTGCTTCACAGAACCAGAAATGGAGCACCATATGTGTTACTGGGGAAAAAGAGACCCCCGCCTTCTAATATATAAATATTATTACACTCTTTATTAAGTTTTAAACAGCAGTAAATGCAAGGCAAGAACAAACATAGATCAGTTGGGTGAGAGAAACTGTGAAGAGTTAGTTTCCAAAGTTATACCTCCAGGTGGTGGGTGGTGGCGTTTTATAGGACCTGGGAAACAAATCCCCTCTCACAACCACGACTGTCTGCAGCAATACATCACATAATGCATGTCAGGCCTTCAGAAGCAGGGCGTGGACTATTGCAGATATGCTTACAGGCTATCTCTGAGGGTCTGGGGTATGACATCATTAAGGAGTACGCCAAGGAACCTTCCTGTGAGGACTGGTGGGGAAAGTGGCCCCAAACCCACTTTTAAATATACTCTACTTCTAACTGGCAATTTGACTGTCAGAGGACTGTGAGGTACTCAAGAAAAATTGACATCTGATCACTTAAACCTAGGCACAAGATGGAAGTAAGTTCTGTGTGGCTGGAGTCATTTGCAGGCAAAAAGCCTTCAGATTTCATCCTCTACCACACACATGAACTTTCGGTGGTGCTCATGGTCTGGCGTAGCAGAAAGCTGCCTCTCTAGAGCACTTGGAAGCCACAAGGCATTTCCCCAGGATTGTGAGGTGGTAGGATAATAAGCAAACCCCCTTCTACCACAGGGAGGGGCCCTTACACTTATTGTTTGCTAGCCCTTTAGCTTCCTCCCCACAAACCACAGATTTCCTGGGATACAGCCAGATTCCATTTTTAAACGTACTTTCTGAAGTGGGCTTTACTAAAGAGGTTTGGTTTTTGTATGTACACATTTACTACCTCTAACTCTTCCATCAGCTAATGTGGAAGTCGGTTATCCTCAGAGCTTGGAATGTTGGAGCCTTTCTTCCCAGCAGACTCATTCTCCGCGTCTCAGTGGCAGCATGCACTGAGTGTCTTTTGAGTTGTCTTCTGTACAGTACTCTTCGGTTGTCTTAGCATCAGATGTCCTCTAGTGTCTGCCCCCCAGCCCTCATCCTTGGCATCTTCTGTTTGAAGCTAGTCTGATTTTCTGGCCTTTGCAGCCAGAGGCTTTTAGCACATCTGAGAATGAGAGGGCAAGAACTATAAACACTAATTAATCCTAGTGATTTCCCCAGGGCTGGGCTGTGGTTATTTATTCTTCTTATTTAAGAGCTTGCCCTTTAAAAGGAGTTCAGATCTAACATTAGTAAGCCTTCTGCTGGTGGTTTTAAATAGCAAAAAATAAAAATAAAAACCACCCAGGCTACTTTGATCAACTCCCATGTGCTTAAGAAGGCTCTTTATTTAAAACTCAAAACAAAAAACAGAGTGTAACATACAAATCATTCTTATCTGGTCATTAAAACTGGTCTTGCAACACTTTAGCGTTAAGTGCTATGGTATCATTAACGAAGTCCACAAAATGCCCTGGCTGAAATAATCTAGCAGAGTCAAATTTACTCCTAAAAAATAACCTTATCAGAGTATATATAGTCTCCATCAAGTACAGTAGCCCGGATTTTTATGTATGGTTTCATCACAGCCAGTTCTCCTTTAAAAGCTAGAACTGATTGTGCTGTCTTTACCTGTACCAGATCAAGTAGTTGATTTGTGTTAAATTTGGGGGATTTTGTATTTTGTTTTTGTTTGAAACCAGTGCATACAGTCAAATTGCATATGTTAAATGTATATAAAAGCAAGTTTACTGTGACTTGTCTCTTCACAGTAATCCAGGTTTATATTAATACCCCATGCTTTATTATTGCTTTGCTGGCTCCAAAATGATCTTCTAATGCAAGAAGTAGGCAAAGGTCCAGGAAGCAGAAGAAATGTGGAGCTAGTCCTTCATTTTTCAGATGAACTACGTTTCTGACCAGCAGATTGACTTTCACAGTGTCACTGCGAATTCGCAGCTAAGATGGGAGCTAGGATTTAAGAACTGCTGTTTGTTTTAAAGAATCTAGGAATAAAATTTAAGGTTAAACTGGAATTTAGTGACCCTGTCAACTTTGCTTCACACACACACAGTAGTAAAGTAAAAAACCCAAGGCTTCTGAATATCCTTGTTCCCTTTTCACGTCAGGCATTGTGGCAATTGATCACTGAATGCATCCTGGAGAATCAAGCCAAGTAAACTGCCCTGGAAAACAGCAGTTTTTGTGACTGGATTACTTTTCATCCCAGCACATTTGTCTGCGGTACCATATATGTTCTACACATCAGTGAATGTTTACACAAGTATTTGCAGCTTGTGTGGGAGAAAGGAGACAAAATTTGCACGTTCCGTCTGAAGACTTGTACCTGTTATTTGATTTCTCCTCTGAAGTAAACAAGTGTACTCTGGGTGGGACCCCAGAGAAATAGCGGTGTTACAGATTTATTTTTGCATATGTATTCAGTTCCATTTCCTCTTTCCAAATAAAGTGGTTTCTTTATTTCCTGACTCTAATTCAAACGCCTGTGGTAACAAAGAAGTGAAATTGCTGAGTGGAAGTTGAGGTGAACTCAAGGACTCTGCATCTGAAAGGGGTGTTTGAGATTCAGCTCCATTGGGTTGTCATCATAGGAACTGTGAACCTACTGTTTCTTCATTTTTCCCCAACGCTGCTAAAAACTGGTTATTTTTATGCAAAGTTCTTGATTTTTAACATTTGTAATAAATTCTAATAATAAAAAAAAGTTCTTCCACATTTGATCCATATGCTGTCCGTCTGCTTTAGAGAAAACGTGAATGTCTCAAATCTTGATTTTCTCATCTATGAAACAGATGATTCTCTACCCTAGGCCAGGCAGGGTTACCATCAAACTTCCGAGGAAATAGTATGCATTAAAAGTCTTTTGTGATCCAAAGCCTGAGAAAACGTTGCTTTCAAGCTAATGTTTTTATTTACATTTTAGAAATGTAAATAGTATAATGGATGGTAAATTTCACACATTTAGGGTTACTGCTACAACCCTAAAACAAAGGAATTTTTTTTAATGGTACAAACTCATCTTCTTGTTAATGCCACCAAGTGGGTTCTGATCCATAGTGACCCTGTTTAGGGTTTTTAAGGAGCAGCTGATGGGTTTGAACCACCAAACTTGCTGTTCAAACCAACCTTGCAGTCCAGTGCTTATCTTACAGAGCCACACTGAGACTCCACAAACCCATGAGGATAAAGAAAAAAGGTGTCACAATATTTTGGATGTTGCATAGGGATTAACTGAATTAGTGAACCGCAGAAGGCTGGATACTAAACCAGCAAAAGGCAAACCTGAGAAGCAGTCTGAAGACGGCTGAGGGATTGGTGGCACTGAGAACCTCTGGAATGGGACATGAAATGAGGCTAAAAATGGAGATTCAGTGACAGACTATTAAAGCGTTAGACCACTATGGTTTTCTACTCAGTGTAGTCAGCCATATAGAAGCTGGGACACCAGGCACAGTAGAGACTAAGATTCTAAGATTATACTGAAAGGAGGTTTAAATGGAAGTTTTCCATATTGGCTGGAGAAGTTTTTTTCTAGCTTTCTTTCCTATGACTGTAGACACTGGCAGCCCGAGCTTGACCCTCCTGGAGAAAGGCAGGTACTGGAGAATCTAGCCCACGAGAAAAGACTTAATAGTACTTCTCCCTAAAGAAACAAGCTGGCTAGAACACCCCACAGGAAAGGCCACAGCCAATAAGCCCACCCACAGAACCACCCACATCACATGACCTATTACAGCTCTCTTCTTAAATTTGAGCAGGCAGCCAAGGATCATTGCTTGCAAAGCATTTGCTATGACGGTCTAAACAAACTAATATAAGAAAGTATCTTGGAGGGAACAATATACAGGGGCAGGGGACTTACAATTATTAATATCCTTTAGTAAAATACTGCATCTAAGACGTGTCTAGGCCTGCACCAGTAACTAGATTTTCCTCCAGAATAGAGGAGGCTGAAAGACGGAAGAATGAGACGGGAAACTCCAGGATGGTGATGCTAAACGCTGTCGAATTGGTTACTGTATATGTGTAAGGACCCTGTATATGGTTTCCAAGGACCCTGTATATGGTTACTGTGTATGTGTAAGGACCCTGTATATGGTTTCCAAGCAGCAGCTTGTGAATTTGAACTGCCAACCTTGCGATTATCAGTCCAGTAATTATTCAATGCCACACCAGGATTCCAGGATGGTATACAGCAACTTACTAAGATCTACTGATAGGCTAGTCCCTGGGTGGTGGCAGAGCAGTTCACTTCTCCATGCCTTGCAAAGGTGGTGATGGTGGTGAAGTGCTTTTGAGTCGATTCTGACTCATAGTGACCCTGTATAGGGTTTCCAAGGAGTCACTGGTGAGTCTGAACCCCAAAGGTAGGAAGAGGTTTTTATGGGCTGGCAAACAAAGATGGTTTGGTGCCTGGAACCTTCAAGACCACCACAGCAGGTGTTATATAAGAGTGACTTAGCAAATAGAATGGAGCAATTGGAAAGCAAGAGCATACTTAGGCAACCTTGCAAAAAAAGCTAATCTACA